TATACAGCTGTCATTATTCAGCTGTCACTATATAGCTGTCATTATACAGCCGTCACTATACTGCTTTCATTATACAGCTGTCATTATACAGCCGTCACCATACTGCTTTCATTATACAGCCGTCATTATACAGCCGTCATTATACAGCCGTCATTATAAAGCCGTCGCTATACTGCTCTCATTATACAGCTGTCACTATAGAGACCAGAGAGAGAGACCAGAGAGAGAGACCAGAGAGAGAGACCAGAGAGAGGGACCAGAGAGAGAGACCAGAGTGAGAGACCAGAGAGAGAGACCAGAGAGAGAGACCAGAGAGAGAGACCAGAGAGAGAGACCAGAGAGAGAGACCAGAGAGAGAGACCAGAGAGAGAGACCAGAGAGAGAGACCAGAGAGAGGGACCAGAGAGAGAGACCAGAGAGAGAGACCAGAGAGAGACCAGAGAGAGACCAGTCTGTGCCATCGGCCCCTCCCACCACCACCAACCACTCACACAGACACCAGACTCATTCTAATGTGGAGGAAGTGTCTTGCCTAAGGACACAATGACAGCAGACATCAGTGGGAGTCGATGGAGACGGTCTCGTGGTGGACTCGAACCCACAACCTTCAGGCTCAAAGGCCAATGCTCTGATGATCAGTGTTGGGCACGTTACTTTGAAAAAGTAATTAGTTATAGTTACTAGTTACTTCTCCCAAAAAGTAACTGAGTTACTAACGGAGTTACTCCACTATAAAAGTAACTAGTTACCAGTAAAAGTAACTATTGCGTTACTTTTTCGTTTTGTTCTGGAACATAATGTGCACCCGACGTGCGCATTTTTACCTTTAATAGTGCCAATATTTCCATCTAGAAAAGGCTGTTCTGCTGCTGAAGTCCTGTTCACTCTTCATCTCTCTCTGTGCTGTAAGCACTAAACACCACACCCGCCACTGTGAATGTGGAAACACCGGTGAAGCACTGACTTCAGTCCAATCAGATGAACATATACATCATATAAATCAAGTGGACAATTTGTTTGGCTACAGCAAAATATGTTTTATGCCCGCATTGTTTGTTCATACAAAACGCAAAACTATGAGTTATGGGTCTTACCTTATAGCTATACCTTATAAATGACCTGCACAGTCCACTTCGGTTCAGACCAGTTCCTTGTTTAAATCCAGTTAATGGTTTGAGCGTAGATATGTAATCCTCCATTTGGAAATGAGTCCAATGAGTTTTAAAAAGTAAAACAAAACGCGTGTGTCCTCCATAAACTCCTGTGTTTTGCTAGCGGCAGCCGAGTGCATCCAATTTCTAAAATCAACCGTCTTACACTTCACCTTTCTTTCTTTTCATTCCTATAGTAATTGAAAAATTACCCTATGTGCATTTTAGATTATGTAAAAATGTGTTATATGTATGTTAGCCAAACCTGTTGCTGTCCTTAGCAGATAAACCAGGAAGAGAAAGGAGCTTATCGATGGAATTGTATGCAGCCGACTTCTGCGCTCACATGTGCTCCTCTGTGGCTGACCTCACGGTGATACAAGCCGTGGTTGAGCGCGATTAAGACCCATATTTGTTTCAAAAACACAATTTATGAGCCATCCTCTCAACTGTAGACATGTGGATTGTAAAGGAAATATGTTTTACATCAGCCAATAATTGCTGAGAGGTTTTCTCATCCTCCCTTCTCTCATGACAACACGTTCATTGTGCGTCTTGAGTAACGCGCAGTAACGGGATGTCGGAAATGATAACGGCGTTTTAGTTACTGTCAAAGTAATTAGTTAGATTACTCGTTACTGAATAAAAGTAACGGCGTTAGTAACGCCGTTACTAGTAACGCCGTTATTCCCATCACTGCTGATGATACAAACTTATTCTTTCATCATCAGGAAATGTAAATACACAGCATCCACTTAGACTGACAGCACTGATATGTGGACAAGAGGCCAGTGGTAACAATAGCTGCAGACGTCAGTATCTGGGGAAACTCAGGATCAATACTTGCTCCTGAAACATGGACAGGTTCACGGGTATGAATACTTTTTCAAGGCACTTTTTCCCGCTTTGTTGTTGTTTGAACTTAACATTTATGGACCAATGTCTCAGTTTTTTATCAATGCATCTCCACAGTTTGATTTTCTGATCTGTGTTGGAAAATCGACAGCTTTGTGAAGACCTCTGAGATAACTTCTGTTGTGATTTAGGGCGATAAACAAATAAATAGAACAGAATTGTTAAATCAGTTCTATCCCTCTCTGAGCGGATGCTGAAAATTCCCCAGAGTTTGGGAGATTCCACAGAATTATTTATAAACCTCAAAATCACCACAATCCAGAGATCAGCTCCGAGTGTGACCAGCTGTGATAATAATGATAATAATAATGATGATAATGATAATAATGATAATAATAATGATAATAATAATGATGATAATGATAATAATGATAATAATGATAATAATAATGATGATAATAATGATAATAATGATAATAATAATGATGATAATGATGATAATGATAATAATAATGATGATAATGATAATAATAATAATGATAATAGTAATGATAATAATGATGATAATGATAATAATAATGATGATAATGATGATGATAATGATAATAATGATAATAATAATGATGATAATGATAATAATAATGATGATAATGATAATAATAATAATGATAATAATAATGATAATAATGATGATAATAATAATGATGATAATGATGATGATAATGATAATAATGATAATAATAATGATGATAATGATGATAATGATAATAATAATAATGATGATAATGATAATAATAATGATGATAATGATAATAATAATGATGATAATGATAATAATAATAATGATAATAATAATGATAATAATGATGATAATGATAATAATAATAATGATGATAATGATGATGATAATGATAATAATAATGATGATAATGATAATAATAATGATGATAATAATGATGATAATAATGATGATAATGATAATAATAATGATGATAATGATAATAATAATGATGATAATGATAATAATAATGATGATAATGATAATAATAATGATAATAATGATGATAATAATGATAATAATGATAATGATAATAATAATGATGATTCAACAACTTACAGAATTTTAATAATCAATCACTCTTTTGATATGTTCCAGTCTGGTTTTAGATCCCACCACAGCACAGAGACCGCTCTAGTGAAGGTAACGAATGACATCAAACTTAACACTGACGCAGGAAAAGTCTCAGTTCTTATCCTGTTAGATTTAAGTGCTGCTTTCGACACTGTCGATCATGGTATCCTCATTCAGAGACTTGAGGACTGGGTTGGTGTTTCTGGTACAGCCCTAAGCTGGTTTATGTCCTACCTACAGGACAGAAAGTATTTTGTGGAGATCGGAAACTGTATCTCAGACCATCTGGCCCTAACCTGCGGAGTGCAAACAGGGATCAATCCTGGGGCCTCTCCTGTTTAATATTTACATGCTGCCTCTGGATAGGTTAATACACAGTAATAACGTGTCCTATCACAATTATGCTGACGATACTCAGGTCTATGTGTCCCTGACAGCAGGAGAACATGGACCAGTGGACTCGCTCCTTCACTGTATCCAATAAATCAGTGAGTGGATGCAAAATAACTTTCTCCAGCTAAACACAGAAAAAACTGAAATTATTGTTTTTGGACCTCAAAAACAAAGAGAGAGCGTTATCTGCCACCTCCAGTCTCTCTCCCTAAAACCCTCAACTCAGGTCAGAAATCTAGGAGTAATAATGGACTCAGACTTAAATTTCAATAGCCACATATCATCTGTGACATCATCAGCTTACTTCCACCTAAGAAACATTGCTAAAATTAAAAACATAGTGTCTAAAGCAGACTTGGAGATTCTTATCCACGCATTTGTCTCCAGTCGATTGGACTACTGCAATGGCCTGCTCACAGGCGGTAAAACAGCTGCAGTACATCCAAAATGCAGCAGCTCGAGTCCTGACTAGAACCAGGAATTAGACCACATTAGTCCGGTCCTCAGGTGCACTGGCTTCCTGTGGCTCAGAGAATAGACTTTAAAGCAGCTTTACTTGTGTACAAGTCTCTCCATGGCCTCGCACCAGGGTACATCCGCGACATGTTGGTGCCATATGAACCAACTCGGGCTCTGAGGAGCACAGGGACTGGACTTCTGTTAGTGCCAAGAGGCGGAACTGGACATGGGGAGGCTGCGTTTCAGATTCATGCAGCTAGAGTCTGGAACCGTCTTCCCGAGAGTGTGAGACAGGCGTCTACTCTAGCAGTTTTTAAAACTGAAAACAGTTCTTTTTAGCTGTGCATACAAGTGAATGATTTTAAATTTGTTTTTATCTTTAATCTTTTTAATGCGCTATGACTATTTATGATTGTAATCCCTTGTGTGATTTTAATGTTTTACGGTTTTTAACTACTTGTGTGATTTTATATATCTTGTGCTCTTAATCTGTCTTTTTATGTTTACTTAAATTCTAATGTTTGATGATTTATGCATGATGTTATATGGGTTGTGAGGCGCTTTGCGTTGCCTTGTGTAGGAAAGGCGCTCTACAAATAAACGTTGATTGATTGATTGATAATGATGATAATGATAATAATAATGATAATGATAATAATAATGATAATAATAATGATAATAATGATGATAATGATGATGATAATGATAATAATGATAATAATGATAATAATAATGATGATAATGATAATAATGATAATAATGATAATGAGGTGTTTGTTTGTTTGTGTTTGTGTGTGTGTTTGTGTGTGTGTGTACGGGTGTTTTTTTGTGTGTTTATGTGTGTGTGTGTTTGTGTTTGTGGGTGTGTGTGTTTGTGTGTGTGTGTGTGTGTGTGTTTTTGTGTTTGTGTGTTTGTGTGTGTGTGTGTTTGTGTGTGTGTGTGTGTGTGTGTGACTGAGGAGACATAAACCTGCAGCTGTTTAATTAAGTCTTTGAAACAAACAAACATTCTAAGACAGCACGAAGTGAAAGACCAGTGTAGAATAAGTGCGGGCGGGCGGGATGGAGACCTGGGTGTGAGAGGGTGACTGGGGAGGTGGAGACCTGGGTGTGAGAGGGTGACTGGGGAGATGGAGACCTGGGTGTGAGAGGGTGACTGGGGAGGTGGAGACCTGGATGTGAGAGGGTGACTGGGGAGGTGGAGACCTGGGTGTGAGAGGGTGACTGGGGTGATGGAGACCTGGGTGTGAGAGGGTGACTGGGGAGATGGAGACCTGGGTGTGAGAGGGTGACTGGGGAGATGGAGACCTGGGTGTGAGAGGGTGACTGACTGGGGAGGTGGAGACCTGGGTGTGAGAGGGTGACTGGGGAGATGGAGACCTGGGTGTGAGAGGGTGACTGGGGAGGTGGAGACCTGGATGTGAGAGGGTGACTGGGGAGGTGGAGACCTGGGTGTGAGAGGGTGACTGGGGAGGTGGAGACCTGGGTGTGAGAGGGTGACTGGGGAGGTGGAGACCTGGGTGTGAGAGGGTGACTGGGGAGATGGAGACCTGGGTGTGAGAGGGTGACTGGGGAGGTGGAGACCTGGGTGTGAGAGGGTGACTGGGGAGGTGGAGACCTGGATGTGAGAGGGTGACTGGGGAGGTGGAGACCTGGGTGTGAGAGGGTGACTGGGGAGGTGGAGACCTGGGTGTGAGAGGGTGACTGGGGAGGTGGAGACCTGGGTGTGAGAGGGTGACTGGGGAGGTGGAGACCTGGGTGTGAGAGGGTGACTGGGGAGGTGGAGACCTGGATGTGAGAGGGTGACTGGGGAGGTGGAGACCTGGATGTGAGAGGGTGACTGGGGAGGTGGAGATCTGGATGTGAGAGGGTGACTGGGGAGGTGGAGACCTGGGTGTGAGAGGGTGACTGGGGAGATGGAGACCTGGGTGTGAGAGGGTGACTGGGGAGGTGGAGACCTGGATGTGAGAGGGTGACTGGGGAGGTGGAGACCTGGGTGTGAGAGGGTGACTGGGGAGGTGGAGACCTGGGTGTGAGAGGGTGACTGGGGAGGTGGAGACCTGGGTGTGAGAGGGTGACTGGGGAGGTGGAGACCTGGGTGTGAGAGGGTGACTGGGGAGATGGAGACCTGGGTGTGAGAGGGTGACTGGGGAGGTGGAGACCTGGATGTGAGAGGGTGACTGGGGAGGTGGGGACCTGGGTGTGAGAGGGTGACTGGGGAGGTGGAGACCTGGGTGTGAGAGGGTGACTGGGGAGGTGGAGACCTGGGTGTGAGAGGGTGACTGGGGAGGTGGAGACCTGGATGTGAGAGGGTGACTGGGGAGGTGGAGACCTGGGTGTGAGAGGGTGACTGGGGAGGTGGAGACCTGGGTGTGAGAGGGTGACTGGGGAGGTGGAGACCTGGGTGTGAGAGGGTGACTGGGGAGGTGGAGACCTGGGTGTGAGAGGGTGACTGGGGAGATGGAGACCTGGGTGTGAGAGGGTGACTGGGGAGGTGGAGACCTGGATGTGAGAGGGTGACTGGGGAGGTGGGGACCTGGGTGTGAGAGGGTGACTGGGGAGGTGGAGACCTGGGTGTGAGAGGGTGACTGGGGAGGTGGAGACCTGGGTGTGAGAGGGTGACTGGGGAGGTGGAGACCTGGGTGTGAGAGGGTGACTGGGGAGGTGGAGACCTGGATGTGAGAGGGTGACTGGGGAGGTGGAGATCTGGATGTGAGAGGGTGACTGGGGAGGTGGAGACCTGGGTGTGAGAGGGTGACTGGGGAGATGGAGACCTGGGTGTGAGAGGGTGACTGGGGAGGTGGAGACCTGGATGTGAGAGGGTGACTGGGGAGGTGGGGACCTGGGTGTGAGAGGGTGACTGGGGAGGTGGAGACCTGGGTGTGAGAGGGTGACTGGGGAGATGGAGACCTGGGTGTGAGAGGGTGACTGGGGAGGTGGAGACCTGGGTGTGAGAGGGTGACTGGGGAGGTGGAGACCTGGGTGTCTTCCTTGTAGCAGTTCAAGTGGAATCCATGGTGTCTAATGATGAGGCCAAGGAGAAGCCTGTAAATGATGAAGAGGAGGGGGCCGAGTACTGAACCTTGGGGAACCCCAGAGCAGACAGGGGAGGAGTGGGACGGGCAGCTTTAGACTAACAGTGTTTTAGACGTCAATATTAAACAGTGGAGGAAGATGGAATGGTCCATGGTTTCAAATGTAGCAGAGAGATCAAAGAGGAAGAAAAGGAACCGCAATCAGCTGAAAGGAGGAGGTCGTTAGATACTTTTAAGAGCGCTTTTCTGTCCCCATCACAATAGACTCACTCACCTTCATCTTCATCACATATTAGCCGCATCTGTATATAAGCCGCAGGGATCAGAGAAAAAGTAGCGGCTTATCGTCTGGAAAGTCCGGTAAAGTTAGAACGTGACTAATGACTAATAATTTTTACTTCGACATTGCCCTGGAGTAATTTACAGAATCATCCACAAACAAACAAGGACATATTTCTTGCACTAGAGTATTTTTTTTTACTTCCTGGTGGATCGTCAAGACTATTGGTCCTCCCAGTTGTCAATCATTCTGGTGATACGTGCTCGTCCAATTCGGTTCTTTCCTAACATTTGGTAAAGCCCTCCTGCATACCATTATAGCTGAACATAGAGATTTGACCTAGATACTGAGTGATGCCAGTGTTTTCCTTATGTCTCCTGCAGCATTTAATAGAGGTTTTTAGCATTATTTTCTGTAATCTGTCATAATCACAGTGTTTTAGCAGCGGCCTGGACTCTGGCCTGATCAAAGAGATGCATTCCTCCCCGTTTATGTCCAGCTGCTACATGACCAAACAAGAATCTAGCACAGAGTCAGACGGCGTTATGTAAAACAGAAGATAACTCATGTGATGTGGAGCACGAGTTACACATGAGTTTGATACTACCCAACAAACATGTAGATTACCATGGGTTCGGATCCTGTGGGGGTTCAAGCATGCGTCAATAAACAACCGTGTGGGAAATGACCCCAGAGACTCGGAGGAACTGTGTGTGTCCGTCGCAGCTGCAGCTCACAGAGAAGACCGCTCTGTGGGCTGAACCACCGCAGGTTTTCACTCCAACCAAGCAGGAGCACACCAGGCTCCACCCCTTTCCTGTCCAGTCTGAACCTGGAGACCTGAGGAAGTGGGTGGAGTCCGGGATGCTCCTGTTTGGTTGGAGTGAAAACCTGCAGAGACACCGGCCCGAGCAGTCAATATGACGGTTTTAGTTTTGGATGTGTTTCATTACTTTGGGACTTTTTCAGTCTCTACATGTAGTTTATTTCTATGTCGTTATTTTGTCTTTATCATTTCTCGACCGTAGCAACTCACTGTCAGCGTTTTAGCATTAGCCTTTAGCATTAGCCGTTAGCATTAGCCTCTCAACAAGCTGTTTTTGCTGTAATATACTGCTGTGGTGTGTGTGTGAAAGCAACATCCTATCAGACCTCTGAAGCTAAGCCACAGAGCAGCCCCGCCCTGATCCTCCTGCAGGTGGTGGGTCCACAGGAGGCTCTGCTCTGTCACAACCTTGATCTTTCAGCGGGGGCTTCAGGCAGGGTGGGGTTCAGTGTCTTGCCCAGGGACAGTAGGTGGAGTAGGTCTCGTGGAAGAATCGAACCCACAACCTTCAGGCCCAAAGGCTAATGCTCTGCCAACTAAACCACTGTTTTCCCTCTCTTAGAAATCTCTAACTTTCAATGAATCTGGTGAAACATTTTTGATGGGAATTTCTTGGAATTTCATTAGTTTGAAAACTTTGAATGGGGGCAGTCAAAACGACGGCTGTGGGAGTTCTGCTGTGAATGACAATCAGAACAGATTTAAGCCCAAAATGGTGATGTCACACAACATGGAAGTCAATATGAGCCAGAGAGAGGAGCCAGATTTCACCATGAGCACTTCTCTGTTGGGCGTCATTGAGCTAGCTTGTTAGCATTGTCCGTCTGTGTACAGTGGATGTGTGAGTGATGTGTTAGCGATATCTACGTTCATACAGACGTTAGCTTACAGTCCTGATCACTGGTTCTGGTGTTTTTATTCTTAGTAAGAGTTTATTGATTGGTTCTTTGTGCCACTAGTCACATATTCCGGTTGTCAGCGGATCAGATTCTGCGTCTGTGCGGAACTTAACACGCTCTCATTTCACTCACGTCTGCGTTTTTTTTGTACATCCTCAGATCTACTGTTCAGAGCTGAGTCTGTGTCTGTGTCCGGGACAGACTCAAATATAAGTATTAACTGAAAGAAGTTTAAACCACGTGATTAGTTGAGATCCTGTGACCTATACCTGGAGGTGAAAGCCAGATACCGTCAGACCTCTGAAGCTAAGCAGGGCAGGGCCTGGTTAGTGCTGTGATGGGAGACCTTTGGGAACACCAGGGGCCACAGAGGGGAGGCTGTGGCTGCATAATGGCAAATGATGCAAGGACTGGAGACTCAGCTGGAGGAAGTATTTAATGTGAGATTATAAAGCGTCTGTTTGTGTCTCCTCGTCCAATAGGAACCACAATACTGAAAAACAGATAGATACATATACAGATAGATAGATGGATAGATAGATAGATACATATACAGATAGATAGATAGATACATATACAGATAGATAGATAGATAGATACATATACAGATAGATAGATAGATAGATACATATACAGATAGATAGATAGATAGATACATATACAGATAGATAGATAGATAGATACATATACAGATAGATAGATACATATACAGATAGTTAGATATATAGATACAGATAGATAGATAGCTACATATACAGATAGATAGATAGATACATATACAGATAGATAGATATATAGATACATATACAGATAGATAGTTAGATACATATACAGATAGATAGTTAGACAGATAGATAGATACATATACAGATAGATAGATAGATACATATACAGATAGATAGATAGATAGATACATATACAGATAGATAGATACATATACAGATAGATAGATACATATACAGATAGATAG